CATAAACTGTGATTTAATACAGAGTTATCAAATGCAGGCCTCGATAAAGCGCTAGCGAAGTGCTCTAGGAGGCCTAAGCCCTAGCCTACATTCCTTCATGACTCAAGAACGGGGAATCTATGTAGTAGTATATAAAACAAATATTTACTGGGATTTTAGTCAGGTCATAGTTCAAATTATACATATAGCCCTTGGTGATCGGGAGGCTGTACTATTACAGCCTCCAGATCACCTCGGACTATGACTTGAACCATGCCCCTCAACCCAGCAATATTTGTATACTATTTACTAAAAATGTGAAAAGAATTAAAAATGGGGTTTTTTTTTTAATACCATAGAAAACGTACATGGAGGGTGATTTCTTCCACCGATTGTCCGTTCTACTTTCTCTTTTTTCAAATCCAACCTTCTTAGCTATCTTTCATCCAATCTTGTGTAATTTTCCCTGTGGCCATCTCTTTTTGTTGCAATATTTTTAATCGTGATTTTGTTCTGTTTTAAATTGTAAATTATTTATCTTTTCTAATCTTTTATAATTTTCCTATTTTTGTTAATTATCTTCTCATTAATTCTTTTGATTTATTTTTTATTTCAATTATTATTCTGTCCAATATGTCAATTTTTTTAAATTTTTGTTTATTTTTATCATTATTTTATATAATTTTTATACTGTAGGCCTATATATGTTTTTTTTCAGATTTTTCAGATTTTTAGTATTATTATTAATTTTTTCCTGGTTTAATTTAATTAATTTGCTTATGTTAAAGATCAAGTTTGATTTTTTTTTTTATTTTATATTTTTTATGTTTTAATTGTATGTACTGAGGGTCCCAATTGATCGGCTCAGGCTGGATGGACCACCCTCACAAAATATTGTTGAAATAAAAATAAAATAAAATAAACTTATTTTTTTTTAATATTGGGCCTAATAAAATTTGTAATAAGTAATTTGCAATAAAATGAGGGATTGGGAGTGGAGCGGTGGTAACTTACTAATACTGAACAAACTTTTGTGGCAGTGTTTGCGAAGAAAAACCCTTAAATATTTACCTTGGTTGAACCAAAGACCTTGGAGTTAGAAGGTAGGCATCTTGACCAGAACATCACAGCTCATAATTTATGATGAATTGGATAGAATTGCAGCCATATTCACTTAGTGTAAGGTTCGACCAAAGAATTCATGAAATATATATGTTTTATGTCTGAATCAGTGTTTATAACATTTAAAACAAAATCTGTATATCACACTGCTCATAATATGTGCATTAATTGTATTGAAAAGTAACGTTGACAAGTGGGATTAAAATTATGTTGGTGATAGAAATAAGAGAACAATTTCTTGTGAATTTATAATCTAAGCAGAAAAATGTGAGATGTTTTTTTTTAACATGTAAATGTTGAGTCATTAGATAAAAAGAATAATATTATATGTTCTTTGTTAAATCTGTTATATTTCATATGATATTGTTATCAAGGTAAGACCGAATTTGATGAATTTATTAAAAGACAAGTTTGATGTTGGTTTGTAAAGCGAAGTTGTTGAGCACAAAATTATTCTTGCTGATGTACATTACTGTTGCAAATCACTGTTGAAAGAAGAAAAATTTGATTCTGTGATGCCTGCCTAAGTTCATTCAAATCTTTAATTGTTGCTGCCAGGCACCTCCTTGTAAAAATGCTTACAAATTGGATAGATGTCACAGATGATACTTGCTGCTTTTTAAATGTTAAATACCTAAAGATAATCTCCATTGAATCATTGTATAAAGTAACAAATAAATATTCATTATCGAAGCGCATTGAGAAATCAAGATGTAGCATGTTTGACCGCTAATTGTGGTTCAATGACTTGGTTCCAGCATATATTGCTCTCATTTTTGCTAATAACATTCATAAAGGAGCTGAAAGGATATGTACCGTAGTAGTTCCAATTTTCTATCTTTGATCAAGATTTACTGCTAGTGCTACCCGAAAAGGAAAGGAAGAACATCAAATGAATTTTTGATGTTGGATTTGCGCTCTGCCTTTCCAACAGGAAGCTTATGCCTCATGATCCCATCATCATGCTCCTAGTCCCATGCTCCCATATCCCATGTTCCCATCCCCATGCTCCCATATCCCATGTTCCATCCCCATGCTCCCAGTCCCATGCTTCCATCCCTATGCTTCCAGTCTTCCCATTCCCATGTTCCCAGTCCCATGCTCCAATATCCCATGCTCTCATATCCCATGTTCCCAGTCCCATGTTCCCAGTCCCATGCTCCCATCCCCTTGCTCTCATCTCCATGCTCCCACTTCCTTGCTCCCATCTCATTGCTCCATCTCATTGCTCCCATCTCCTTGCTCCCATCTCATTGCTCCCATCTCATTGCTCCCATCTCCAGGCTCCCACAGTGTGATTTTTAACTACTTGACCACAGGGGGAGGGGAGCTGCGCCCTCTTCCTGCACCCCTAGATATGCAACTGGGCTCCCATCCTCATGTTCCCTTCCCTATGTTCCCATTCTCATGCTCCCATCCCCGTGTTTGCATCTCCATGCTCCTGTTTCCGTGCTCCTAGCCCCATGCTTCATTCTTCAAGCTCCCATCTCGATGATCCAATTTCCATGCTCCCATCCTCTTGCTCCTATCCCCATACTCCTATTCCCATGCTCTCATCTTCATGCTCCCATCTCCATGCTCCCATCTCCATGCTCCCATCTCCATGTTCCCAGCCTCTGCTCCTATCCCCATACTCCTATTTCCATATTCCTATCTCCATGTACCAATCTCCATGCTCACATCTCCATGCTCCCATTCCCTTCTCCCATCCCCATGTTCCCCTCTCCATGCTCCCATCTCCATGTTCCCATCTCCATGTTCCCAGCCCCATGCTTCTATCCCCATGCTTCCATCCCCATGGTTCCAGTCCCCCATGTTCCCATTCCCTTGCTCCCATACCCGTGTTCTCATCTCATGCTCCCATTGCCATGCTCCTATTCCCATCGCCATGTTCTCATTACCATGCTGCATCCCCATGAAGGTACATCTACTACATGCTATCTTATGCATACAGAAGCACAGAAATTATAAATGTTATTTACCTGTAAAGTGTATTTTCTGTACTACAGCAATCCATTAAACCTATCAGCATATTTCCATAGAAACTATTTAGTTTCTATGGATCTCAGTCAAATAGAAATTTGTACCTTTCTCTTCTGTCGTAATTCACATCTCGACGAGATTTGATTAACAGATAAACCGAATAATCAGCGAACGTCACGTGATCAAAACTTTTTCTCGGACATTTTAATTTCCTTTAGACAGCTGGTTTGAACGCGAAACATACGTGAGCCTAGGCCTAGATGTCTATGCTTGGTTATAGATACCCAGATTTACACGAGCAGTGCGCATCAGTGACTTCGCTTTTGCCGACAACAAGGTTGACTGAATGCGGCTTTTTCCTCTTCCTTTGGGAGCGAAAAACAGAGGCTTTTACAACAATTTCCCCGCCATGTTCCATGAAATAGATTAACACTATGAATATATGATTCATTTGCATACCGCCTACCCTGAATTCTCTTTCTTTAAAAAGGTTGATAGCAAAGAAAATCTTTGCTGACTCGGTAAGTCTAGCCGCCATTGTCTAAGGTTTTCGTGACTTTGTGACTAGGCCTAGATGTCTATGCTTGGTTATAGGTACCAAAATTTACACGAGCAGTGCGAATCAGTGACTTCGCTTTTGCCGACAACAAGGTTGACTGAATGCGGCTTTTTCCTCTTCCTTTGGGAGCGAAAAACAGAGGCTTTTACAACAATTTCCTCGCCATGTTCCATGAAATAGATTAACACTATGAATATTTGATTCATTTGCATACCGCCTACCCTGAATTCTCTTTCTTAAAAAAGGTTGATAGCAAAGAAAATCTTTGCCGACTCGGTAAGTCTAGCCACCATTGTCTAAGGTTTTCGTGACTTTGTGGGCGGGGCTTCGCGTCCTTGTCGACATGTCAATTAACACAGAGTATCGTAATTTTTATCATTGGATGTATCATTTATTCGGTATGGAGTCATGGACTATTATCCATCTCCAAGTTCTTAACAATAATATTTTCTTATAAATTTGGATTTTTTTTAGATTATGCATTCTATATAAACTGTTTTTTCCTCATTTTTTTAGATTATATATATCCATCTGAAGTCTTCAGAAGATAATTTTGTTAATATTCAGAGCAAGACCAAATATTTATTGAGGTAAGTTTTATTACCTTCTTGAAGGGTATAAAATCTAATAATACTATTAGGTTGGTTATTTTTGAGAGTCTATACATTTTTAATTTCATTTCTAGAGAAGTGAATGATGTTCCTCTGCCTTCATTCCTTAAATACTTCCTGTACCTACCTCATTTTCCCTGTTGTGGTATAAATTTTTTTTTTTTTTAAAGAAAATTCCCAGGGGTCTTTGATGGAAGAAGCCACTTCAAGAAGAACTGGTTTACTACACATTGTATTTTGCTGTCCATTTAATACAGAAAATTAATGCAAACATTGTGAATTAAAATGCGAGTTAGGTATAGTTCGTGAAGTGCTGATTTTCTGGCGATGTCGTCAATTCCTCAATTTAAAGGGTGCATGCAAAACTCCTCAAAAGTAGGATGTAAGCTTATGTCTGGAAGGTCTTACTTGAGGAACTTTGATACTTCATTTTTTTCACCGATATTTCCCTTTTTCTTTTCTTTGTATACTATTGAAACAGACAGAAAAACAGAGATAAATTGAGTTTAAATAGAATTGGCATATGGCAGGATTTATATTAAGGCTTTACAGCAGATGAGGGCAGATGTGTTCATTTGTACTGCTATATTTCTGTCTCTTATACACATCTAGATGTGTATAAGAGACAGACTATTATCCATCTCCAAGTTCTTAACAATAATATTTTCTTATAAATTTGGATTTTTTTTTCATTTTTTGGTAGATTATGCATTCTATATAAACTGTTTTTTCCTCATTTTTTGTAGATTATATATTTCCATCTGAAGTCTTGAGAAGATAATTTTGTTAATATTCAGAGCAAGACCAAATATTTATTGAGGTGAGTTTTATTACCTTCTTGAAGGGTATAAAATCTAATAATACTATTAGGTTGGTTATTTTTGAGAGTCTATACATTTTTAATTTCATTTCTAGAGAAGTGAATGATGTTCCTCTGCCTTCATTCCTTAAATACTTCCTGTACCTACCTCATTTTCCCTGTTGTGGTATAAATTTTTTTTTTTTTTAAAGAAAATTCCCAGGGGTCTTTGATGGAAGAAGCCACTTCAAGAAGAACTGGTTTACTACACATTGTATTTTGCTGTCCATTTAATACAGAAAATTAATGCAAACATTGTGAATTAAAATGCGAGTTAGGTATAGTTCGTGAAGTGCTGATTTTCTGGCGATGTCGTCGATTCCTCAATTTAAAGGGTGCATGCAAAACTCCTCAAAAGTAGGATGTAAGCTTATGTCTGGAAGGTCTTACTTGAGGAACTTTGATACTTCATTTTTTTCACCGATATTTCCCTTTTTCTTTTCTTTGTATACTATTGAAACAGACAGAAAAACAGAGATAAATTGAGTTTAAATAGAATTGGCATATGACAGGATTTATATTAAGGCTTTACAGCAGATGAGGGCTTAACCCAAAATAACGTAAAAGGTCACACTAAGCAACTTTAGCAGCATGGCCAGTATTTTGGGCTTCATGCAGAGTCTGCTTCTGGGATTAATTAAAAAAAACTTATGCAATGATAGATGTTTAGCCCATAGCTATGTACTGTATGCTTGTGCTTATCTATTTTTAGATATTTATACAGTAAGCACTAAAGCTAACAAGAGTATCTAAAATTATCCAATCCCTTTCCAGATGTTTTAAATGTGATGCTCTCTAGAAGAAACCATTGAGGAAAATAAAGGTTATTAACAATAAAATCTGACAGTTCTACTATATTGACAAATTGGAGTAATTCTTCATACTATTGTAATTTAAAGTCACTATGTCTGTGATGCAATCTGTAAAACCTGGTACATTTTATAATTAACCATTGAATTTTTCAATACGATTTGTTTTGTGCCACATAAACAGGACGATCGTCTGTAAATAACGCAAAAACAATGAAAATTAGCTGTTTTTAATCTCTAAAAATTCTCATAATTATATAATAAAGTTATATAACCTACCAAAATGTGGGAAATTTTATTACCTACATGATTATGCTAATCTTTAGTACAGTAAGTATTCTGATCAATTGGCACAGGTCAAAATAGACAAGTGGTTTTCAGCATGAAGGCCGTGATTTTACCGTGTTTTGAACACAAATTTTCACTTCGGAAGCAAGTAGCGCCCCTATAACATCGTTTTGAGTTATATAACCTATCAATCGACTCGTAATTTTATTGGCTTTCAAAATATCTAAAAATGAGTTTGATTGAACAAAAGTTGTGACCGGCACGCCCCGTTGTTGAATGGTCTAATCACGACGGAATCTTATGTCCTATACTTTACACAGGACTCGAGCCATGTTTTTTTGCAAGTGTTTTGTCTGAAGTATCTACCACATAAATTGTGATTTCATGTCTCTTTTGACAGATTTTGCATATAACTTATATTCATACTGTAGTGAGTGTATATATACACTAGTTAAAAATACGAGTTTAAAAAAGGATTCCTTTTTTTTAATTTTAGGCCTAGGCTTACGACAGGCAACCTCTAGCCTTTGCTAGGCCTAGTAGCTAGGCCTCAGCCGATCGTTTTTTATACAATCGTGCCGTACAAGACCGAAATTCATAAAAAATATCAAAATCGTGAGTCGTTTTTTCATTGAGAAAATAAAAATAAATGATACCTCCCGGCCCGTGGCCATGAGAGTTAATTTACATTAGGAAGTTATGCAGAAACGTCAACCCTTGTCAAGAATGGGCGATCCAAAAAACTCCAGCTGGACGGCGTTGAAAGCGATTATGCAGTAAAAAAAGCTCTGCATTCAATGAATTAATTTTACTGTTGTCCAAAACAAATCGTTTTGCATCCTTCAAATATGTTATAAATTTATAATGAGAAACAGATCGAAACAAATTCAGTTTGTGCTGTTTGTAGAATTTTTACTAAAAAATGATTAAAGTATCAAACAATTGACTTTCTTTTTTAATCAAGCAGGGCTTTTTTTGTCTTGCACTCGCATTTTTTGTGGTGGTCAGTCAAATTTTATTTTTTGTGATAAATGATAAAAAAAAATGTTTGCCCTTCTTTGACAATCTTTCAAAATAATGTTTTGCCTAATGTGGTTTTTTTTTAATGGAATATAGGAAAACCACAGTATAATATTCATCTATTTAAAAATTTCAGAGGAAAATATTTACAAAACGGCACTCATGAATTTGAACATAATTATGATGAGGTTAAGTCAAACCGATTTGCACATGCCATGCACCTTTGGCTTGTTATTGTCATTTGTACTGCTGTATTTTCTACATAAATTTTTATTTTTAGGTGATGGGACTGCTATTTACTTCAGGCTTTGCGCTTTACTTTTCAAAAAGAAGATGGTTACAGGTGTTTTTTTTTTTCATTCGCATCAAAAAGCAAGTAACTTGTCAATTCCAGGATAGCCGATGCTTTATTAACCAATTCTTTTTATGAAACTTAAGCAATGGAGTTGTTTAAGCCATGAGAAAAAATTGTGTTGTCGCAGGAATTGAACCCAGTACCATGTGATTAAAAGGCAAGCATCTCAACCACTAAACTTTTCAACTCTCCTCGAAGGTTGGCACACTGCACAAGCCAACCATTATGATCAAATAAAAGCAATTACTCAATTATTTCATTCTTCACAAACCAGTGTTGCTTATGACCATCTTAGATCTTACAGTAATAATTTATAGAATTCTACTATTTGTGTACTCAAAAAATAAAAGTTTCAATTCCGTAAATTCCTATGTGTATCAGTAACATAATTTAAATGATGACAAATCGAAACACTTGATACGCTCCTACATCTACCCAATTCACCGTCTTTATTTATCCTAACGGTTCTGTTCTCCGTAATGTATCTCAACATCTGTTCAATTCTCCATCTTTATTTAGACTATTAAGTAAAGTAATATTGTGGGAATGCGCCCTGCTTTTATTTCAGAATGCATCGTAATAGGAATATTGCGGTAGTAATGTTATGGCGTTAATGTAGCTTCAGTTGCTCTGAAATGGGGCTATACAACAGATTAGAAAGGAGCAATAATTTTTATGCAAGATTTATGAACTTTTAATGAGACACGGATTAAAATTCAGTTTCCCTGATTTTCAAATATTTTACTATGAAAATTGGTGAATGATTACCAGCCAATTTTATGATCTATACAAAGAATATATAAAGATAGTAAATTAATTTCTTTTCTTTTCCTACTTATCGATTAAATGCTAACTTAAACACATATTAATTAATTCAAAATATTTTAGCTGTGCACAGACTGTATTTAAACCAAAAAAAAAAATCAAATTTAACAGAATTTCCAGTGTTCTCCCAATTGAAAAATTTTTACTGGTAAATTTGTCCATATATAGCCAGCTAAGCGCACACAACTTCGGATATTACCAATTTTAAGTGGATTTAAATGGCTTCAAAAAACAATAATACGTAATCATAGCTTAGGCCTGGAAAGGAATGATGTTCGTTTATTGAAAGAAGGGCAGCCTAGTCAACCTAGGCCTAATAATGTGCTTTTTTCTTCTACCAACACACAATTTTTACTGGTTGGTCAGTTATTTTTACTGGTAAAATTGACAGCTAAAACGGCTTCAAAATTTTGAAATTGAATTGAGGCAGTATGTTTTAAAGATGTACTGTCAGTCAAAAGACAGGAAAATACCTCAAAAATTCAAATAAAATATTTGAATAGCTCATTTCAAATATACAAATAAATAATTAGCTTCAACCAAGAAACAGATTGAAAAAAAATTGTTTTCGCAGATTTTCAGACATTTTACTACAAAATCCTTAAATTTATTACCAGCCAAAATAAGGATTTTGTAGTAAAATTTCTGAAAATCAGTGAAAGTAATTTTCTTATGTTTCATAGTAGAAGTTAATAATTTATTTGATTCTTTTAAATGAGCTATATAATTTGAAAAAAAAATATTTTTGAGGTATTTTAATTTTCTTTTCTCGGAATCTGTTATTGTTGGCTTTATAGAGAGGTAGAATTCTACATATTCTCATTGTGTTTTTTCCCCTCAATTTTGATTATTATTTTAAAGTGCATAGCAATAGTAATCCTTACAATTATAAGCAGTGATCTTTTGACCTTTATGTAACATGTATGTGACAATTGGTTTGTAAACACATTAGCTGAGAAACTGTGCACGCACCTTGGTTCGTGCTGGCCATGTAGTTATGCATTTAATCAATCAATTCTCATTTTTTTAGTGAATTTGAAAGCCACATGTGATAAAACAATATTTTGTACATGTAATCATGTCAATCGAGTTGGTGCGTTACACTATAGAGGCGCTATTTCATGCAACAGTATACTTCCGGGCAGAGAGTAGTCATATTTTATAATGTAATTTAATTTGCAGACAAGAAATTTTAAAGCTGTTTTCCACTAAGCGAATTTAAGCAGAGCACTTGCTGTCCACGACGGTCGTCGGCCAACTCGATTCTATAAGGAACGCAACGCGATGACGGATCGTTTTGAATGATGATCAGTTCAGACTACCACTGACAATCAGCAGATGCCGTCGCGTCGTCTATTTCTCACAGTGAGCGGAGTTGAGTTCATCGTGCGGCGGTCTTACGATGCAGTGAGTGCCTAGCTTTATATGCGCAACACAAAAAGAAAAAAATTGAGTGCTTTTTTAATTTCCTCTACATGAGCGAAAAGATTCGCAATAGACATTTTTCTTTCCTGTTATCATTGATATAGGCATGCAATCAAATTGTAAACATGACTATAATCCTCAGGGAATGGAGGAGGTTGCACTTTATGCTAGTTTGCTAATTATGGATTCAAGGATCAGGGGTAATAGTAACAACATCGCCAGAGAATTGTATCGCTATC